CAGTTTTAGTTCCGAAGACAACATAGAAAAACAAAAAAAGCAAACACAACTTTCAAATATTTATCTCTGAGATTCTACTCAAGTAGAACCCAATCAAACAATCCTAGCACTCAAACTTAGCATTTTGCGCAAACAAGAAGGCACGGTTAGCTTTGAAACATGAATCAATCTCAAGGAAATGGAAATGATCCAAGTATCTCACTCAAGTAAGATAACTTTTCCGATTCCAATAAACCACGGAAGGGACCTAATCATAGTGTAGCTTCCAAATTCTCCATGTCGTGAACTACGCAAAAGGAGAATAACTCTAATTGTACTAAGTGGGGAAAAAAGAGCATAGATTTGCAAACTTACAGATAAAGGGGCAAGTCTGTGAGGACATTTATCATCAAAAGCAACCCATTCCTGATTAGCCTTATCAAACCAGAGAACCAAGTCACGACCCAGAAGCTGAAATGGGGTTGGCAAGAGAGGGTCCAAATCCTCGAGTAAAGAAACAGGGTACCAATGGTCCCTCCAAGTGAATTTAGAATCAATAACCTCCTCTCCACTCTCATCATCAACCCCATACTCTTCTTCTTCTTCTTCTTCTTCTTTTCGTACAGATGGTGGTGACTGTGAGGAAGGTGCTGCTACATGTAAAGGAGAGATCTTTCGAACTCTTGTAATTGGCTGTTTTGTGTTAATGGTTTTCGTGAGTGAAAAGGGGGAGGCTTTGGGATTAGTTTGTGTTAAAGATTTGGAGATGCAAGTGGTTGATAGAAGTAGAGCCATTTTTAATGATATTTATCTCTATAGTTTATTGCAGTTCAGAGCCTTCTTTATTCAGCTTGAGCCTCTCTTGTGTTTCTAGACAAGATAAATTAAGAGAAAACAAGATGTGTTTGCGTACAAGTTTGTTAATGTGGACTCCAAGGTGTCTTCTCTACCGGTTTCTGGACTTCAAATCTGACAGTGATCGATAGCTTTGCACAGTTTTTCTCTTCTTTTTTTTATTTATCAAAGTAGCACATTACACGAATTTAATTAGAAACTTCGGCTATTGCCACGTGAGATGTACAATTTCGAGCTGTGTTGTTTTTTTTTTAACATTTTTTTATTTTAAAAAATACATTAAAATAATATAAAAATTAAAAAATTAAACAAAGAAAATACATTAAAATAATATAAAAATTAAACAAAAAAAAATCAAATTTTAACAAAATAGAAGTTAACCATAAGCCAAGCTCCCCTTTATTTAGTTGCAGAGTTTTGCATTTTAAAAATTTTTTTTAAAATATTTTTATTTTTTATTTTAAATTAATATTTTTTAATGTTTTTAAATTATTTTAATACGTTAAAAGTAATTTTTAAAACATAAAATAATATTATTTTAATATATTTTTAAATAAAAAATACTTTAAAAAATAATCAAGGTAAATTTTAAAATAGCACATAAATTTATGTAATAAAAAATATTTTAAAAAATAATCGCAGGTACACTTTAAAATAGTTCATAAATTTATATTTTTTAATTATAATATTTTTATTTTTATTATGCTATTCTCGTATCTACATGCAACGTTTTAAACTATACTATTATTCTAATTAAATTTTTAACTTTGCTATTTTCTCTATTTCTTATTTCTAAGAAAAATCTTGAACTTCGAATGATGAGAAGAAAGAGGCAAAGACCAAACCATTAATTAATTGTTTTTTTCTGTATTTGAACTCTATGCTAATTTCAGGAATCACGAGTTCAATTCCTTCACATTGTTTTTCAAAGACACCAATGTGTTAGCCTTAAAACCAGAGGGGCCTGTATAAAAGGAATCATAAACTTTAGGGACTATTAAAATTCTATATAAGAGATCTCTAAATGTTTTTTAAATTCTCAGCTCCCCGTGTCAACCTCTGGCCTTCCCTACCTTTAATTATTGTTCTGAGACGTAAAAAGATGGAGACAATTTGAGTAGAAAAGACATGCACGTGTCTTTCCTGTTTTAAAAAAGACAAAATTAATTTTAAAATAATTATAGAAAAAGATTTATTTTTATATTTTTATTTATTTTAATTGAATATTTATTTATTTTATTCAGAGATAATAATTTGACAGAACCTAAAAAAATCATTGCAATCATAGATCTTCATCGTTTCATGTTTATTACAAATTTACCATGCGCTGCACTTGACCAAAAATGAAGGAAGAGACATGGATGACGCGATGTCCACTACAACAAATTATGGTCAACTCCAATAACCGGAAAGCGTGAGGTGGCGGTATAGCGAGGAAAGTTACTTGTTTTTTTTTTTTTCTTTATATATATATATATATATTATTATTATTATTATTATTATTATTTATTTTTTTCTGGATTCAAGTTCAATTTCTTTATATATATATTCTATATTCAAGTTTCTTTATATATGTATATTTGTCATTCCTGCAATATTTTATCTATTTATTAGGCTGATAAATTATTTAATGAATTTAAAAATTAATTATAATGGATTTAAACTAATCCAAGCACCTCAAGTTAAAAAAATATATATACTATGAATTTTTGAACTCTCAAAATCCAAATTTTAATATATTTTTATTTAAAAACACCCAAAATATATTATAAAAACCTTAATAACTTCATTCTTAATCTTAAAAATCCTCTAGTAATCAAAATGAATAGAAACAATACAACCTCAATCTATTTTATTTTTATATATATAATCAAAAGTAAAACCACTTCAATTGAAATTCTTTTCTAAATTTAATATTTTTATGGTTCATCTCTCTTTTCTCTTTTTCTAGCAACTTTTTTTTTCATCTTTCATAACACAAAGACTAAAATATAATAAAAATAAATCTTTAAAATTAAAACATAAAAATAAGAATTAACAAGGGCCAAAAATGGAAAAAGAGAAGATTTTAGGTACCAATCTATACTTATTCACGTAAAAAATAAAGTAGCAATTCGTAGTAAAATAGAGGAGACTTATAGTAAAAAATACAAAGAGAAATTGCAATCTATTTTAGATTATTGTATAATTAATCAAATCAAATTAAATATTTTATCTTAATATTTTCTTTCTAAAAAAATAAAAAAATCAAATTCCAAACCAGGATGCAGCCTCCCATGAGAGGAATGTCCTTGAATTTTAATAATTATGTCAAATAAGTTTTACCATTTTTTATACATAATGGCTACCTTGAAATAAGAAAATGAATATCAAATTTTATACATATCTCTGTTTACTGCAAGTTTTTTTTGTTTTTTTTAATCCCCCATCTTACTAAGTTCATCCCCCGTCAAATCCCTTGATCAGATCAGCTATTTTACTCGTGATATTTTTAATTTATAATGAAATTAAATTAAAATATTTATTTTTATTTATCACATCATGTCATGAGGTTCAGATCATGATAGTCAAGGAAGATACATACCTTGTGACCGATCCCTCAAATAATCGTCGTCTGATCTTCGCCAGTAAAATATATTTCGAATTGGAAATATTGTGAAAGGACGGAGAGAGTAATGCTGCAAAATGTTTGGATAATAAATTTCCTCCACGTGTGAATACGAGGATACGACTTGTGCATTTGATGGCAGCCAGAACTGGTCTGGGTTGTAGAAAAAATATAAAAGAAGAACTTTTCAATGCGTTTAAAATTCATTGATTTTTTTAAAAATAAATTATCAAAGTAACATTATTTAACTTTTTTTATAAAACAATCCTTATTCTCAATTAAATTTTATAATTATGTTTTGCTATGATGTCCCCACGGCAATGAGGTTTTTAGATTTTTTTTTTTCATGGAATAAGACATTATTGAGATTATAATCTTATTTGTTTTTGTATTTTAAAAATATTTAAAAAAAATTTAAAAAATTTTAATTTTTTTGCTTTAAATTAATATTTTTAAATTATTTTAATATATAGCATGTACAGTGATAATTTGTTGGGTAACTAAAGTAATAAGTTTTCAATTTCAATCTCTTGAAAGCCCATTTTGCAGTGGATGAACATCACAGCACGCTGCATTTTGGCTCGCATGATCACCACAAGACAAGTTATATTTGGTGAGGTAGTAAACTGAAGCAAGAAAGGACTCAGACGATAATTGATTTGATTTCTACGCAAGGGTGAAATTGAATAATTGACACAGACATGGATTAAAACTATGAATTTGCCTCTGTTGTTTTTAGACATCCTTAAATCCTTATCAATTTTAATATTTTTAAATCGTTTTAATATATTAATATTAAAAATAAATTTAAATCAAAAATTATTATTTTAATATTTAAAAAAAATATTTTAAAAAATAATTATTACTATATTTTCAACTTGCATATTACAAGAAGAGAAGAGGTTGTTTTTTACACAGGATCTAGAGGAAGTTTTCATTCTTGCTAACCCCTGCATAGATGCAAGCAACATTTCGCTAACCCACCAACAAGATCAAATCCTCCCAAGGACCTTTTCACCTAGACCACTTTACGTTGCTTCTATCACTAAAATCTTGTTCTTTCTATCAAGGGAATTTCTACTTTTTTAAATCATAAGTATAACCTAATTTTTCATATACATTAAGCAAACTTTTTTATATTAAGAAATAATTTCATAGAGAGGAGATTGCTCACTGGATTAATGATTATTCGTGTAATAGGGGAAAAGGCAAAGATTATGCATTCGTAATTTTCAATAGTATATAATTCTAAAACTATAAATTATCTTCGTCCTCAAATCCCTTCATTCCAGATTTCAATACTGAGTCAGTCTCCCTAGCAGTAACTGCTATCGCACATAAAGCTAAAGGCTGCCATTGCTAAATTACAGATACAGCAAGAAAGGTTACTAATCCCGTGCTAAATACAACAAGAAGAAAGCTAAAGCTCCCCTCTTCCAGTAAAAAACTACCCTCTATTTCTAGTTAAGAACTAGCCTTGCTATCTATTGAGCTTTACCCTGGCGAGCAACTAGACAAAAGTTGTACATCCTTAATGTTCAATAGTATACATTGCTCATTTAGAAACCAAAAGTTGCAATCCTCAAATTGCAAATTACTATTGGTTGCATGTATATATTGCTCATACACTATAGTGTCATTTATCAATCATATAGCCACACTCAACAATTTTTCAATGTACGAAATAGATGTATATGCAAATATCTGATCGTTTGGATCACAAATAATCTATGATATTAAGTTCTTACATTATAAAAATATAAAGAAAGAAAGAAAGAAAGAAAGAAATCATGTTTTTAAGCAATTCCATTTTCCAGAAATTCTCATTCTCGTTGTAATTCTCAACATGTTGCTTATCCATTTGTGATGATCAGTAGATTTCTAGGTACAGAATCCACAAAGATGTCCATTGGCAGAAAAGAAGATAATGCGACCAAATGTCTCAATTTGCAGGAAATGGGCATGATTGTGCATGCAATTTACTTGCCCTCCCCAACACTTTTCTCGCAAAGCACATTACTTCTTTGGGTAAGACCCAGGATCAGGTCCAATGTCACGTGAACCTGTGTTTATGTAAGGCCCTCGGAAAGTCGCCTGTGGTGGCAATGGCTTTGATGGGTCAATCACTGGCTTGCCCCTGGATGATCTGTATATGACAACTCATGTCCTTAGCTACAGAGAATCGAAGAAAGACAAGTTCCAGCACTGTTAATGAGAATTCAATTTCTTACGCCATGTAGAAGGGAAATGCCAAGCCTGCAGCAGCAAAAGCCAGTAATCCAGTGGCAACAATGACATTACGTGTCCGGGTCATTGGGCTCAGCAACTCAGGTTAAAGTGATCTAAATGAAGACACGAAGCTGAAACAAAAAAATGTCAGTCCCTCTTCAAACACGTCTGTATATGCAATATGGTTGCACATTCAAACCACTAGCAGCATCCATGCCAGGAACGTATGTAACTTTTTCAAGCTTACATCATATCCTAAAAAACTTACAGCTAAAGTCCAAGCTAAATGATTTTCTTTTATGGTAAATAACCTAAAATGAATTTGCAATCTCCAGGTTGCATATTTTAGCAATGCAATGCACTATTTTTTTCTTTTTCTTTTTCGTCAAGTCCAATGTACACACAGCAATTAATCCCGTTATCAATACAAATTCAGAACACACACACAAGCAAACATAGCATAGCAGTTGTGTATTCTGAAGCAGGTTTGAATCCAGTTTATTTGGTTATTATGCATTGTGTAGTCCAAGACCCCACAGCCTCCCAATGAACCATATATATATAAGAAAAGAAAAATAAAAGGATTAGCCCTTGTACTTAAAATGCTAACCAGCGCATATAAGCTCAATACAGAGCAGAAATGGAGACCCAGAGCACCTTGAATAAGGGACAGTATCAATCATGAAATAACTAGTAATAATTCAATTAATATAACCAACATCAGAAGATTACAAGGATTAATAGCAGGGAGACTGACTAGCTGAATAACACAGTTATCAGTCACCCACCAATCCAAAATTGTCATTCCATCGTTCTAATTCACAAAACAAATCAACCCCACAACATATTTTTGCAAATTCTTTTCTACTTCTTAGGGCTCATTACTTATGGGGCAAAAAGAAGGAAAGAAAGCCAAATAACCCTAGCATGAGTAAAATACTCATTATGGGTCAAGTGAGCCGAGGTACCTGGTTGGATATCAACTCTAAGTTTCGAGTCACCGTAAGGAAAAGGAAGCCTCAGTGAGTTGGAGCGGTTTATGTCGGAGGACTGGGAGCCGGTTAGCTAGCTTGGCATTACACAGACAAGAAAGGAGATGGAGGAATACGAGGGCTGAATTTTTTTCTTTTGTTTTTTTTTTTTTTTTCCTTCAAATCTAAGAGGGTCCGTGTTGAGGTGGGCTGGATTAGCATATAGAATACTCTGTTCCCCATGCCTTTGATAAAATACAAAGGGTAATGGATTCTTTAACAGAACTTAGGCGAGGTCACGTTTGAAAACACGATCCAATTGATATTTTTAAAAACATTAATTTTGTTTAAAATTAATATTATTTGTGTTTTTTTATCATTTTAATTTTTTAAAATTAAAAATAATTTTTTTAAAATAAAAAATTATCTTAATATATTTCTAAATAAAAAACATTTTAAATCACAACAACTATTATAATTTCAAACAAAATCCAGTTGCCTTTTGTTTAGTTTTGTGTTTTGCTTTACTAGTAAAAATATTTGTTAAAAATTTTATAATTTATAAATTTTTTAAATGTATTTTCTCAAATCACTATACACAAACTTAATAAAAAAATTCAAGGCTTCTGTTTTTCTACAAATGTTTATGATATATCATTAAAAAAAAATTATTATCATCTAAATTATTAGAGAATAATATAAAAGTAATATTCAAAATTTATGTAGAAATTTAAGTTATTAGAGCTTTGATTTAATATTAGAGTTTTGTTAATGAATATAAAATACTATTATTATATTTTATTTGATACAAAAAATTTTAAAAAAAAACAAGATAATATAAATCTTCAAGTTTTAAACTAAAAAAAAAATCATTTAAAAAATATATTAAAAAATAATATAAAATTATTTTTTTAATCTTATCAAAAACGTTTAGCTACTGAAGAAACTCGATGGATTATAAACTAAGCAAGTCAACTTGAAAATTTCTACCAACCTTTTTAACTTAGACCCAATGTTATACACCTAAGAGTTTGTCTTTGAATAGTTCTACATGTTTTTATTCTTTTATTTTTTATTTTTTTGATTAAATCCTGTATTATTTTTTTCATTAGTTTTTATATCATATCTTATTCTTATTATTTTTATCATCATTTGTTTTTTTTATTTTTTTTATAATTAAGAATTTTATCCAGGATTTATTTTTGTATTCTATGGTCATCTGAGTCTTATGGTCATAAGACTCAATTTTAAAAAAAATTATTATTGCCTTGAGTTTTTTATTTTTTATTATTTTATTTTTCATTTAGGGTTATACTGGATCCCGAGTTAATCAAGTTAATATGAGTTATTTTGATTTTTTTTCAATGTTTTTAATTTTTTTTAAATTTATTCTTTGTTGTTGTGTTAGTGTGTCTTGAGATTTCTTATTTTTTATTTATTTTCTTTTTATAAGATTATCCCAGATTATAAATTCATTAGATTAACTCAGGATGACTCAAGTTTTATTTTTATTTATTTATTTATTTATTTAGTTTTGATTATTTTTTTTAGGTTTTTTTTATAATAATTTTCTTTATCCAATCTCATATTATGACTTGGATCTTTTTCTTTCATATTTTTTTTTAATTATATTCTTCAAAAATAACTTGTTGGACTTTAAACTTTTTATTTTTTTTTTACTTTTTTAATTTTTTTTCACTTTTCTTCTTTTGAAATTATCCCACTTTACAATACAATGCAGTCAAATTAACCCAGGTTCACACTCAAGTTATCATTATTTAATTTTATTTATTTTTTTGGTTAGAAAAACACTAACCCAACCTATGACAAGCAAAGAAAATATAGTTAGTACTCTATCCAGTATTTTATACAATTTGTTCATATGCAGCAAGACTCCATTGGATTATTGGGAATGTGGTGAATTTAAAATAAATCAAAAGCAACAAGGCATATAGCAATAACTAAAAACCTGAGTCAAAATAAAACCAACTATTTCAGCTTCACATAAATGTTGGCCCGTGCAAAATGTACAAGCAATGTCCGGTCCTGATTATTTGATGAAACCAACGCACAAAATTAGCATGAAAAATCTATAATTAGTCCCACAGCCTATAGGAACTTGGTCACCATTAATTTATGCTTACATGTAGTTTATGTTCCAGAATATGACTTGCTAAAAATCACAACAGAAACATAGATCGCTTAATGCTGCTGGCTACCAGCACCCAAAGAGAAAACCAATTTCTCCTCGATAAAATTCCCGAGGCCTCTGGAAACTGGCAAGCTTCACGTAGTTGTTGTAGCAGCTTCAGTGTCGTTTTTACTAGCATTTGATTGGGCAAGCTTCACGTAGTTGTTGTAGCGGCTTCAGTGTCGTTTTTACTAGCATTTGATTGAGAAGAACTAGGAGACTTCTCAGGACTCAAAAAACGTCCTGTCATTGGATCGACTGGACGTGTGTCACGAGGACCACCCTTCCGTCCCATTACCATCATCGGCGGTGGAGGTAGCAGCCCTGCTCTGAAGAGAATGCGTTGGACAGGTTCTGAAGGCTGAGCACCAACCGACAACCAATACCTGCAGAAAACAGTAGGAAAAACTAAGGCGGAAAAAAAAAGATTGTGGTTATAAGGCGGAAAAAAAAAGATTGTGGTTATAATTAAAGTGTTTTTTTTTAAATATATGAAAATAATATTTTTTATTTTTTTAAAATTATTTTTTATATCAAAAGATACCAAAAAAATTAACTTCAATAAAAAAAAATGTCAAAAAATCACAAAACACGATTTTAACTGCAAAAATTCCCAAAGTTTCTTCTGGCTTCATTTTTCTGCTTAGGCAACATTCAGTCATATAATTCTCCGTGAACTCGTATACCATAATTAAACTAAACTCAGAAACTCTCAATAACACAAACCTGAGGGGTAAATGAAAGGAATTAGATCCATAGTAAACTATTTTTTATTATTGTTTTTCCACATGGATATTTCACAAGATTTAAATAAAAGTGTTCAGCGTTAACAATTAAAAGAGGCAACAAGAAAAGGCACTCCTCCACCAACAACTATTAAAGGAAATGATAAACCAACTGCACAAAGGATGTCAAGCTATGACACACAAATACATTAGAGTGAGTTAAAAGCACTCCAAGACCAACATTAAGAGCAGATGTCGAACAAAGTTCCAAAGCACTCAAATAGGGCATGTAACAAGAGCATAAGGGAAAAACAGGAAGAGTAAAACATGGCTTACTTCACTCTCTCAAAATTAAGACCCATTCGTTTGCCTCCATCTTGACCTGCAAAAAACAGTACGTTTTTTTTTAAAACAAATAAAGTTAGCTACTCGCAGATCAATATGCCTTGACTGGCAGTTGATATAGCTAAGAAAAATGTCAAGAACCAAAAAAAGAAAGTTAAATCATCAGCCAAGTGACTGTTCAAACTTCGAAAGACTTTGACAAAACGTAAATGAATTCGCTTAAAACTAGTGTTCGACATTTCACTTTGAAGAAGCAATTTTCAGCTCTGCGCTTTCTTTTCCCTACACTATCTCAGGCTCTAAAAACTGAAAACTTGCTCAAATTAATCCCAACAAATCCGTTCCTATCTCTTGGATCCACCAAAATAATATTAGGGAATGTAATAATATTCATTTTCATACAATATCTTAGTAATCAAAAAAACAAATAATTTTATTTGCTTACCAATAAAACCGAATAAACAAAAGCTTGAAAACTCATTTCAAGATACCTACATTAGGTATATCAAGAGTTGTACTCCTCCCCCGCATAATACCATAGGAACACCATGAGAATAAGTCATGGATTACACCTATTATATGCGAGGGAGGAGTACAACTCCGATCATACTGAATAATTACTCCCAATTTCAAATATTAGACTAAACACTGCTATCTTCGATAAACATAGACATGAAAGAAACAAAAGACAACCTTTTATAAGACATTTTTTCTACTCGTGCTTAAGCTAACAGTAAAGGACAACAAAATGTAAGAAACATAGCAGAAAAGAATGAAAAAAGCAACATGGAAATTTGAGTTTAAGGAAAAAGGGACAGACCAGGAAGCGGATTGTAGTAACCAAGGACTTCAAGATGTTTGCCATCTCTCGGGGATCTGCTATCAGCAGCCATAACCCGATAAAATGGCTTGTTACTGCACCCGAATCTCGACAACCGGATCCTCACCACCATTTTGGGTTTAATATTCTATGGATGAATTCCAAGTCACAGACCCAGCGATTGATTGAGGGAAGGAGAGAGGAGAATCTCTGTTGCTAGGGTTTTTGTGTCTTGTGATCCTAGAGCTGGATTTTTAGAATATTGATTGATAAATCGGGCTGGGCTAACCTGTCTGTCTTAAATAGGCCCATTTTGGTTTAAATAGGCCCAGTTTAACAGCCCAGTCACAATAATCTTATAATACTTTAATTTTTTTAAAAAAAATAACTTCAAGAAAATGGGAATTTTCTTATTGAACTCAATATGTCTACATCCAAAAAATAGACCCAATTATATATTCGTGGATCAATGCAATAAAATACCAACCAGAAATCTAATATTATATTAAAGATTACCACTTACCACTGCATGCACAACCATCAAACCATATCCAGGACTTTCAGGACGACGAAGATCTTGATGGAGTCCTGTTGATGTTTAATGAAGGTTATAATTAAAGCTTTAAATTTTAGTTTTTAAGGTTTTATTGATTTTCATCTTATTTATGCTCAGCTAGCTAGTTCGCTCAGTTGATGTCGTAGCAAGATGCCAACTCTTGTCTGCATTATTGTTCTCAAGCGGTGAAATGTGAGTGTCGATAGATTTATTTTATAAAATATTTTTTTTATTTTTTAAAAATTCAACTCTTGTCTGCATTATTGTTCTCAAGTGGTGAAATGTGAGTGTCGACAGTTTTATTTTATAAAATATTTTTTATGATAAAATATTTTTTTATTTTTTTAAAATTAGTATAATCAAAATATATAAAAAAATTATTTTTAAAAAAAACAAGGATTATCTTACATTTGCAGATATGCTGTAAGTAAAATTAGTTAATGGTGTTTTTGAAGGGTAAAAGTTATATATATAACCTAATAAATGAAAACCAACCAAATAATTTTTTTCATTCTTTTACCAAATTAACTCTTTTTTTTTCAATTTTTTCCTTCAATTAAATTTAAAATTTATTTTATATTTTTATTTTTATTCTCTTAATTATTATTTTTTAAAAAAATTTATATAATTAATTTTTTTAATTTTTTATAAAAAATTAAATTTCATGATTTTTCCATATTAAGCTCTTCTATTCTAATAACTTGAATTACAAGTTTAAAAAATTAATATAATTTTAAAAAATATTTTATAATCCTCTTTATTTTTTATCAAGTTATTCAAATAGTTTGATAGAATATCCTATTTTAGCTCTGTTTTCATTACCAAAATTACTAGTCTGTCATAACCTCTCTCTTTTTTGTCATTATTTTTTACCTCATTTAAGCACTTAACATTATTCCTTGCAAATAAAAAAAAAAACCAGCCCTGCAACGAAACGCTAGCACAAATGCTAGGGTATTCTAAAATATAAATCAAACGCTACTTTGAAGTATTAGAGTTAAGTTCTACTCATAATTTTTTCCCCTTCTAAATGTTGTGTGCCAACCAAAAAGAAAAGAGATCCCTCCTTTTCCTTCATGATAAACATAACGTAAATAAAACACATTCACTGCACAAGCTTTAGAGCTCCATTGAAATAGCCCAAATAATTCCATGGAAAAGCAATAACTAACTAGGTTACCCAAATATCTGCAAGAAATACAAAAAACTCGAGCAAAGAGAAGGGTGTGTCAGTGCTGAATTCATTCCTTTGATCTACTCTGTTCTGGTTGAAACAGAGTTATATTCAAGTCAATTCAGACTGAGGTGAAGATCAAGCATTACATTTAAGCATTGTCAAGGCTCATCAGTAAACCTCGACTAATGAAGAAGCTTATAGAAAGCTAATAATAGTAAACACGACTATCACAGAGATACAAGGCAAAGCAAAATTAGCTCCACGATATTCACATTTTGAACAAAAACTTGGTGGCCACCAATAAATGCTAAAGATCGATGGAATCCGTCACCCATAATCAATAGTGAAGGAGTGTCAAGATGAGTCCTACTGTATATATTCCTAATCCACAGCAGCTAGGATTGACAAAAACACCAGGATCGATCTGCAATAACAAGCTAACAATTTCACCTCCAACAAGGCAATAAAATGAAGTTCACCACCATATCACTAGACATCTCAATCTCAGTAAGAAACATAACGTGAACACATACTCACAGAGCAAGCCATGCCCTAAATTTACCACTACTCGTGCCAATCTTCAAATAGACTCCGCCCCAGGATTTATCACTCTAAAATTTCCTTCGAGGATAAACATCGTTGTAAAAAAACAACAGTTTAAACACACATCACACTTCATAAGAAATATCCACACACAAACAAAAACAAAAACAAATATCTAAACTAATTGCATGTTTCTTTGTGCGTTGCACCCCACAAACAAACAAAGCCTAAGAACCTTGGTATAGCAACTACAAAAACAACGAAGAATATCTGCAACAACTGAGTATTAGTTTTTCATCAACGTCTAATTAACCAACGCTGATAATGTCATCAAACAACACATGAAAGAAACAAACAACCCTAACAAGAAATTCTCCACAGTAGAGAATTACAACACAATACTAAAAATCCATAACCGTTTATGCAGGGCATAAACCAAAGCATCTCCTTCCTTTTCAGCATTTCAGTCATTATAATAAGAAAATAAAAAACTTATCACTTGACAAGAGCTTGATCCTGCTGCTGCTGATAATTCAAAGGCCTCCTGAACAGCATGATGTGTGGCTCCGGGCGATGAATCGCATAATGGACCCACCCTCGGCTCTGCTGAACTCCAATCGCTCGCCACTCATTCTACTCAAAAAATAAAATTTATCATAATCGCAGCCGTAATTCTTTCAATTAACTTACATTATCAAGCAACAAATAATAAAATAATAACATTTATTGTTATTTTTATTTTTTAATAGTGATTTCAATTACAAAAAAAAAAAATCCTCAAAATCCGGGGGAAAGAACTTACTTCGGAGAGAAGGCGATTCTTAATGAGAAGTTTGGAGACTTCAGGAGGAAGCACCACATGCCTGTACGATTTTAAAAAAAAATTAAAAAAATATGTCAATCCAAACAGAACTTGATAATAATAATTATCAATCAATCGGATAAAAGAAGAGGAAGCACCTGTACTCAAAAGTGTCATCTAAATACTTCTCGGAGTACTGGATCTGACCCATTTTTTGTTTGCCTCAAGAAATTGCTTCACCGTTTTCACGATCTATATATATATATATAAAGAAATCAAAATAGCTTCAGTAGAAAATAAAAAGAAACGAAAAAAATGCTGTGTTATGTGGTGTGGTGTTACCAGGGAAGGAATGGAAGACAAAAATGATGATTTATTTATTTTAATTTTTATTTATTTATTTTATCTAGGGGTGTTACCGGAAATTTAATATAAATATGGTGTTTTTGAATTTTGAATTTTTATTTCTCCCGCTTTTTTTTATCCTATGTTTTTTTCTTCCTATAATTCCTACTCTAGTTATTAAATTAAGTTAAAAGTAAAATAATTTTTAAAAAAAAATCAAAAGGAATCACTCGTACGAACGGATCGGCCCAACGCTTTCCTCCATCCACATACAGCTAGAACTCTGCTTCTTCTTCTTCTTCTTCTTCTTTTATTTCTTGCTTTATTAATTTCTTTTTACCTTAATTAATTTATGCCGAACTTCCACTTTTATGTCTCTATACTTTACGACTGGGAGACTGTATTCTCATTGTTACATGCAAATGCAAATTCTACTCGAAACAGGTGGCCGAAGATACTCCTCATCTGTGTTACGTAAGAGCTGGAGAGTGGATTATTATTATTAAAAAGATATTTGAGATAAATTTTATTTTTAAAATATATTAAATAATATTTTTATTTTTAAAAAATTATTTTTTATATTAATAAATAAAAATAATCTAAAAATATTAATTAAAAATTAAAAAAATCTCAATAAATATTTTTAGAATAAAAAACAAATAAACCCTAAATTAGTATGGCGTTGTTTGTGTTGTACCGTCGATCTGCGCCGGCCTGGTTAAATGGGATGTAGAGGAGCTGCTACCTCCGTAAGGAGGTTTCCCCACTCGCTACTTGGTTGGTTGCTTTGATGTTCTTGCAAGAGCTTTGTTGACTTCACTCCCAGTGATGCGATAAGCAGCTTCCACACGCGCATATTGAAACCTGTGAAAATTGAATTTAATTTAATGGTTAGCATGCTTTAGACGTAGTGGAAATTCTTAAAGTATTTTTTTGATAAAAAAAATATATTAAAATAATATTTTTATATATAAATTTTTCATTGATATATATCAAAATCATAAATAACACTAAAAGATAATTTGAAATTTTTAAAAAATTAAAAATTTAAAAAAAAATATAATTGACCCGCAATGCTAAAAGTGCCTAAATAAATTTTTATGATTGAAATATTTTTAAGAATATTAATCTGAATTTCAAATGCAATTCAATTTTTTTAAAAAAGATTTATAAGTTTAATTTATCATAGTAATCTCTATCAAAATACCTAAATAAATTATATTAATCTGAATTTCAGATGCAATTCAATTTTTAAAAAAAAGATTCATAGGTTTAATTTATCATAGTAATCTCTATCAAATAATGTTGAAAATAATATTCTAAAAATACTATCATATTAATACAACCTTTTTAGTATTATTTATTTATTTATTTATTTTGTGTTTCCGTTCAAAACTTGATTACTACTTTAATTATATTTATTTTTTTATGGGATTTTTGTAATTGAAACAACTTGTGTTGTTTGTTGTTAATCTATATTTATCTTATAACATTACTATAATTTGTATCTCAGCTGCCATGTATTTTAAGGGAGTAAATTGAGTAAACTCCATTCAATAAGGAATTTAATTGACTTATTCCTCTATCAAACATTCCATTTGTATTTATTTATATTTTTCAAATACTTTTTGTTATATTTTGTAGACTCATGAGTCTATTTATAGCAACACTCCAATTTATAGGATTTTCAATAATATTTTGTTATTTTTTTAGTGTGTGCTAGTTAATTGATGAGAAAGATTTATCATTTTATTAATCTATCATGGTATCATAGCAAAATAGGAGATGAAAAAAAACATGAACTCATTAGTCAGGTTAAGTATAAT